TTTTTTTTCTGAGTAGGATTCCAGCTATGAACCCTTTGGATCTGTGCTCAGTATAACACCTTTGCAATTCATCCATGTTGAATCTTTACAGTATTTGTCCTTTATCAATATTTTGTTACTTTTTTGCTAGGTAATATTTCATGTATGAATACTTCACGATTTGTTTAACCATTCACCAGTTGAAGGATATTCGGATTGTTTTCTATTTGGGGAAATGATAAATAAAGTTGGCATAAATATTTGCATACAAGTTTGCTTTTAAACCTAAGTTTTCATAGATACCTAGGAGTAGGGTTTGCTTTGGGTGTATTTATTAGAAACTGCCCCTGACAGCCACTAATCTGCTTTCTGCCTCCATGGTTTTACCTATTCTGGATATTTCATATAGAAGGAAGCATACAATATATGGTCTTTTGAGTCTGGCTTATTTAACTTAGCATAATGTTTTCAAGGTTTACCCATGTGTAGTATGTGTCAACACTTCATTTTTTTATGAACAAATAATGTTCCATTAAATGGCTATATCACACTTTGTTTATGCATTCATTAGTCAATGGACCTTGGAGTAATTTCCACTTTTGGTTATTGAGATTTGTGCTTTTATTAACATTTGTGTACAAGTTTTTGTTTTAATACTTGTTTTCAATTCTTTTGTGTATATGCCTAACAGCAGAATTGCTGGGTCATATGATGACTTTGTATTTAACTTTTTGAGGAACCACCAAAATAATATTCATAGAGATTGTACCATTTTACATTCTCACTAGCAATGTGCAAAAGTTATAATCTCTCTAAATCCATGTAAATACTTGTCATTAAAAAATTCATAGCCATCCTACAATCTATGAAATGGCATCTCATGGCAGTTTTGGTTTTAAAATCAATCCAATTATTTTTGAAAATAAAAATTGTGATTATAAGTAAATCACTTTTATTGGCTGGCTTCAGAAATCATTAGAATCTTTATAGTATTTGTCCTTTCTGTCTAGTAACAGGGCTTGTATCTCTTGCGTACTTTTTTAAATTTTAAAAATAGTTTTATTCATGTGGGTTTTGCATCCATCTCCCTTCCTCCCTCTCTCTCTTCCTTCTTTCATCTTTCTCTCTTTCTCTTTCTTCTTGATCTCTTCTCTTTTTTTTGAGATGGAATTTTGCTGTTTCCCAGGCTGCTTTTCAACCCTTGGGCTTCAGAATCCTCCCACCTGTCTCCTGAGTAGCTGGGACTACAGGCACACACCACCATGCCCGGTGGTTTTGGATATTTCTTATTAAGCTATTCTTAGGTGTTTTTTATTCTATTGCTACTGAGAATGCAATTTACCCCATTACACAACCTAATTCACTATTGATTATGAAAAGAAAGTTGCCATTTTTCCCCCAGTCCTGGGGATTGAACTCAAGGAGGCTCTACTGCTGAGCTATGTCCACAAGTTTTCCCATGGCCCAGCTGGACCATGTAGAACCTATGCCCGTTTCATTTTTATATTTTGAGATAGGGTCTTATAATTTGCCAAGGCTGGCCTCAAACTTGTGATTCTTCAGCCTCAGACTCTGAGTTGCTGGGATTATAGATGAATGACATAGCGCCCAGCAAAAGTCACCAATTTTAATATACTGATTTCTTATTTCATTTAGTAGTCTTTCAACCTGATATCTTTATTTCTAATATTGATACTCCCAGTTTATCTTATTGCATTGTTTAGAACCTCCAGAATGATATAAATGAAAGTGACAAAGGATGTTATGGCTTGTTTTCAGACTTTAATGAGCATGCATGTAATATTTCATAGTCAAGAGTGATTATTGCTTGCATGGTGGTGTAGCTCAGTGGTTGACCACTTGCTAGCACATGCAAGGCCCTGGGTTCCATCCCTAGCAGCAAGTATATCTTCTAGTCATAGCTTAATAATCGTTTCTTTTTGTTTTTGGGAAATAGATTTTGGATGAATGTTAACAGGTTTTAATTGTTAATTATTTTATTATGTTTTTGTCTCGCTTAATTAAAAACTATTTTCAAAAATTTTCTGTGACACCAATGAAACTTAATGTTATGCTAAGTGAAATAAGGAGACTCAAAAGGACAATGACTATATAATTTCACTCATATGAGGTACTTAAACAGTAGGCAAATTCATACAGATGGAAAGTATAGTAGAGGTCACAAGGGACAGGTGGCAGGCGGTGGGGGATAAGTTATTACTTAACGGGTACAGAATTTCTATTTAGAGAGATGAAAAAGTTCTAGAGATGGGTGGTGGTGATGGTTCCACAACAATGCACTGAACTAGACAGTTAAAAATGGCGAAAGTGGAAACTTATAAGCTATATATGTTTTACCACAATTTTTTTAAAAAAGGAAATGTAACAAGCAGGAGAGAGATGGAATGATAAATATTGTAGCTTTTATTTTTCATTTTTTTTTGTGGTACTGGGGACTGAACCCTACCACTGAGCTACATCCCCAGCCCTTCTTTGTTTTCTGTTTTAAGACCAGCTCTCACAAAATTGCCCAGGCTGGCCTTAAACTTGTGATCTTTGTGCTCCAACTTAATATAATACTTTTTTTTTTAACTGATTTTTTTTGTACCAGGGATTGAACCCAGGGGTACTTAACCACTGAGCCACATTTTCTTATTTTGAAGCAGGGTCTTTCTAAGTTGCTTAGGGCTTCGCTAAGTTGCTGAGGTTGGCACTGAATTCACAATTCTCCTACCCCAGCAGGCATGTACCATCATGCCTGGCCAACCTAATATAAACTTTTAAAATGCACTTCTGCATTGCTTGTATAATATTTTTAAAATCTTAAAAACAAAAAAGGATTTTTAAGCAAAAAGTTGTGTATTTGCCTCCTACTGCTTACTGGATGAGCTCTAAGGTGGAAATGCAACCTCCTGATAGAGATGCATGCATCCAGTTAGTACCAACTCAATGTTGCATCTTTGTAAGAAATTGATTTGCTGATTAAAATCAGCAAAGGCAAAACCTAGATCTTCTTGTAGATTTGGAGTCTCAGAGAGTCATTTTAGTTTTCTTAATATTTCAGCTTTAGTTTAACTTCAAAAAGGGTGTTTAGATGCAGCATCTAAGGACAGAGAGGTCATTTTACTGTGGGAGGCCACAGTAAAATTACATTAATTACAACTGATTTACTGTGGTCTGAATCTATAGTGACTCTAGTTTTCCAGCCTGGGGAGCAAGAGTGTTTATGGTCATTGTGATAAGACAGCAAGAGAGCTGGGTAGACGAAGGGTGTAAATCTCATTTAAACATGATTTTGAGCTTCCTGTTGGGCCTCTGGCTGAAGACGGTCAGTAGGCAATTCAGGGGGAGCCAAGGTGGTTTTCAGCTGAGATCGTCTTGAGGCTTACCATATGGACAGTGGTTGGACTGCATAGTGTGAGATGATGGAGGATGGCAGTGGTGGGTCTGGGGACTAGAATTCAGGCATGGTCCATGGAGAAAGGGAAGCCAGAGAAGGAGGAGATACCCCAGGAAGAGAGTTTTTTTAAAAAATTATTTTAGATATACATGACAGTATATTTTGACATATTATACATACATGGAGAATGGTTTATTCTAATTAGGATCCAATTCTTGTACATGATGTGGTATTTCACTAGTCATGTGTTCATACATGAACATAGGGAAGTTATGTCTGATTCATTCTACTGTCTTTTCTATTTCCATATCCCCTCCCTTCCCTTCATTCCCTTTGTCTAATCCAGTGAACTTCTATTCTTTCTTCCTCCTTCTTATTGTGTGTTAGCATCTGCGTATCAGAGAGAACATTTGGCTTTGGTGTTTTGGGATTGGCTTATTTCACTTAGCATGATAGTCTCCAGGGCCATCCATTTACCAGCAAATGCCACAATTTCATTCTTCTTTATGGCTGAGTAATATTCCATTGTGTATATATACAATATTTTCTTTATCCAAACATCTGTTGAAGGGCATCTAGGTTGCTTCCATAGTTTTGCCATTGTGAATTGCGCTGCTATAAACGTTGATGTGGCTGTGTCAGAGTATTATGCTGGTTTTAAGTCCTTTGTGTATATACTGAGGAGTGGGATAGCTGGTTCAAATGGTGGTTTCATTCCACGTTTTCTGAAGAATCTCTATACTGCTTTCCAGAGTAATTGCACCAATTTTGGAAAGAGGGAGGACCTCGTGCTGCATCCTTCAGAGATATCCAGTACAACAGGGATGGGGAAGGGACCTTGGATTTAACAATGATGAGGGCCTTATAGGCCTTAACCTGAGAGGTGTCAGAGGGAGATGGGATTGAGAGCCAAGGGGATTCTGCCACATCTTCAGCATGTGAAACAGTGCCTGGTGCAAACGGGCTGAAGAATGGATGGATAGATGAATGGATAAACAGATGGATGGACCAATGGATGTAAAGATATATGGGTCTGTGCTCAGAGAGATGACTAGATAGATGGGTGGGAAAAAGTGCCCTGAAAGATCAGAGAAGGCCTCAGGAATGAGACGGGACTGAGCTGCGTCTTTGAATAGGAATGAAAGCCGAGGGGTCTCCACATAGGAGCACCTTAAGTCAAGAATGACTCAGTGCTTGTGGGTCCAGGGAGGAAGCTAGCCCAGATAGACCATGGGAAACTTGTGTAAAGGAGACTCAGAGGCCCTAAGATGACCCAGTGCAGTACTCCTTGCCATTCCACACCCACCCGAGAAGGCACATCACTCAGGGGCTTGCTGAGTACTTACTGTGCCCAATGTTGTAATCGTCATCAACCATCTCAGAGATGGGGGAGGTGAGGGCAAAAGTGGGGTGACTCTGAGGCCATGGATGACACTTGCTTGGGACAACGGGACAGGCCTCTGGGGAGCTGGCTGATAGCCCACCTGCCTTCCACTGGGGTCATAGCTCACTCTATTCTCATCATTCCCAGCAGGTTCCCACTCCAGCCTGGCCCCCAGGGGGCAGGCCCCAGATGCTGGTTCCATGGGTTTTGGTCTGAGCCTCAGTCACCGTGGTTCATCTTTGGTGGTGGAACCCAACTCACTGTCCTAGGTAAGTGACTCTCACAGCCTTTCCCAACCTTCCCACCCCTTTGCTGTTTTAGGACTGTTCATTATCTTTTTCTTGGATTTTTCCCCCCTCTGCCCTCCCCAGACTTAAGGTTTTATCCATTATCTTTTTTCATGGAGTGTGGAGGTGGTGGGTGATCTTTGGGTAACCATCGGGAAGGTCCCAAACAGAATGCTAACAGTGAGATACAGCCTGCCCAGGGTCCTGGGCTGGGGGTTTAGTCAGGGATGGGGCTCTTTCCCTTCTTCTAGGGTATTTGCCAAGTGGAGGCTAGGGGCCAAGTCTAGTGAGGTGAGGGAAACCAGGCCTTAAAGAGAGTTCTTGGGCCTCCAGCATCTGGACTGAGGGCAGATGCTCATCTCATCCAGGCCAGGAGACCACATAGGAGGCCCAGAAATATGGCTGGGACTGTGACCCCAGACTGTGGGACTCAAGAGGTCATCCCAAGTATAGACCATCAGAGGGCAGGGAGAGGCGTCTGACTCACTCTAGGCTCTAGTTCTTTGGACCTCTGCTGGGCCATGGAGACATGGACTTAGAGATGGGGCAGATGAATCAGAGTCTGGCCTTCCCAGTATGGCCATTAGGGCAGACACTCATTTGTTCCTGAAACCCTTTACCTCTGGGGCCTTATGTCTCACTTGTCCGTGAGTCAGCCTACCACCTTCCTTGAGGGGCACATTTAAATGAGGGATGGTGAAATGAATGGGGGGAGTGTTCGAGATACCTGACTTCCAGGTAAAATTAGGAGTTGTCAGAGGCTGCTGGGGTGAGTGCAGGGCTGCTATATCTCATAGTCTGCCCCAAGAACATAACCAAGACGAAGGGTCTTTGTGATCAGGCCAGTGGAGACAGGGGAGACACTAGTGTTGGAGGAGCCCTCAGGGATTGTCTGGTTAGAACCAACACTTGCCAGCAGAGTTGAGTGGACTGGCCTGGAGCTTCCTGTCCTCTCAGAGGATAGGCTCTGCTTCATCCCTCCACCCATCCCCGTGTAGTGGGCATAGGCTTGGGACCTCCACACATACATTAGGACCATCCTTCTAGGCTGAATGGGGACCCCCACTTCACAGCAGAGGCTCTGGACACTGGAAGAATAAATGGAGGTGGGACCCTGGACTGGGATGAGGGCTTAGTTGCTGAGGGTTAGATTCCAAACTCAGACTCCAGAAACCAAGGGGGAGGGAGCACAGTCTGTCCTGGGGGCTGCAAGAGGAGGGACTGGGTCAGGTAGAGGTAACCTGGGAGAGGTAAATTGGGAAGAACTTCCAGGAATATTCAGAGGTGTCAAGTGGAAAGGCGGAGGGAAGGAGGGTCCTCAGTTGGACAAGATGGCCACACTGTGAATGGTCATAGAGATTTTAGGAGTGTGTGTGTTGATCCCAACACTTAAAATCTCTTCTAGTGACTCATACTCCCTCTTCTATTCATACAGACCAGCCCAAATCTGCTCCCTTGGTCACTCTGTTCCCACCCTCCTCTGAGGAGCTCCAGGTCAACAAAGCCACACTGGTGTGTCTGATGAATGACTTCTACCCGGGCACTGTGATGGTGGCCTGGAAAGCTAATGGCACCACCATCACCCAGGGTGTGGAGACCACCCAGCCCTCCAAACAGAGAAATAACAAATACATGGCCAGCAGCTACCTGACTGTGACACCTGACCAGTGGATATCTCGTGGCACATACACCTGCCAGGTCACACATGAAGGGAGCACTGTAGAAAAGAATGTGTCTCTTGCAAAGTGTTCTTGGTCTTCAACCCTCACCCCATATGCAGAGACCTAGAACTGAAAAACTCTGGGGAGGGGTCCCCCCTCCTACCCTTAACATCCCAAGCCCTTTCCCTGCAACCAATAAATGCTCAATAAAAGGTTCCATTGTCAATCAGAAATTCTACTCTATCTTATATTTCATATGCAATCCTCCCCAGAAGTTTTAGGGTGGTAAGGAAGAATCTTAGTACACACTGGGAAAGTAGCTCTGGGGGAGAGTTTCATGGTCTCTTAGAGGCAACACCAGGCAACAGTCATCTGTCCCTCTGTTCTCTTTTCCTCCATTTCTGCCCCCACCGCAAAACAGGGTCCTCCACTCCCTGCCTCCTTTCTAGATGGATTTGTCTGGGCCAGAATCTCCTGAGTTACATTCTCTCCCTGCCCTGTTCTGAGGGGATGAGGCTTAAAAACATTAATGGCCCAAGGTCGTACCCCAGTTCAGAGCTGGGATTAGAATCCAGGTACTGAGTTCAGTCCCTTTACATATAAACACCAAAGTTCTGTGCTTCTCCTGGTTTGGATTTACCCACCCACCAAACCATCCATCCATTCACTCACTCAAATACCTGCTCAATCATGCACCCACAATTCACCCACTCACTACATGCATTGGCCCATCGCCTCCTTCTCCTCCCCCTTCTCTTTTCCTTTCTCCTTCCTTTCCTTCTTTTCTTTCTTCATTTAATTGGGAGCTTTATATGTATCAAATACCAGGCAGGGGATGAGATGAGGTAAAGAGTGTGGAAAACTTGCAAGGGGCTGCTTGTCTTTGGAGCAGTAGCTTTTCCTTGGCTAATGTGCGTCCCCAAAGGGGTGAGTGAGTAAGAGCCCTTCAAATCAGGTCCTTCAGCATTCTGTTACCCAGGATGAGACTCAGGGAAAATTTGGAGAGGCAGATGATCTTACAAGGTTGGGGAAGGAGGGAGGAGTATGGTGAGCACAGGGAGAAACAATTAGGGGATGCTCTGTAAGTCGTTCACGAACAGATTGACCTTGTCAAGAGCTCCATAGCTGTTATGTGGAGAGCAGTCTGCAGAGTCTGAAAGTGGAAGGTGGATCATCTGTGAGGTGGCCACTGATTCTCTGACAGATCTAAGAGGAGTCGATTTTGGTGTTCGCAGACTTTATAGGTTGTGAGAACATTGTGAAAATCTCCAAGATCCTTACCTGCCAGAAGTTCTTTTTGATTATTTAAAATTATTTCCCTGTTAAATAATTCAAATCAGGGATGAAATCAATGAAATTGAAACAAAAGAAACAATTGAAAAAATTGACAAAAAGCTGATTCTTTGAAAAAATAAATAAAATTGATAAACACTTAGCCACTTAATGAAAAGGAGACAAAACTCAAATTACTAAAATTCATGATGAAAAAGGAAATACCATGACAAACACTATTGAAATAGAGAAGATAGTTAGAAACTATTTTGAAAATTTATACTCCAATAAAATAGATAATCTCAAAAACAAATTTCTAGAGGCATATGATGTGCCCAAACTGAATCAGGAGGACATACACAATTTAAACAGACCAATTTCAAGCAATGATATTGAAGACACCAGCAAAAGCCTACCAGCCAAGAAAAGCCCAGGACCAGATGGATTCTCTGCTGAGTTTTATAAGACCTTCAAAGAAGAATTAATACCAATACTCATCAAATTATTCCATGAAATAGAAAAGGAGGGAAGACTTCCAAACTCATTTAAAAAATATTTTTAGTTGTATATGAACACAATACCTTTATTGTATTTTTATGTGATGATGAGGATTGAACCTAGTGCATCTCACATGTGAGGTGAGAGCTCTACCACTTCCAAACTCATTCTATGAGGCTATTATCATCCTGATACCAAAATCAGACAAAGGCACATTAAGGAGAGAAAACTTTAGATCAATATTCCTGATGAACATAGATGCAAAAATTCTCAATAACATTCTGAAAATTTGCATACAAAAACATATTAGAAAGATAGCACACCATGATCAAGTGGGGTTCATCCCAGGGATGCAAAGTTGGTTCAACATATGGAATTCAGCAAATTTAATTAATTACATCAATAGACTTAAAAGATTAAGAGATGCAAAAAAAAAGCATTTGGCAAAATATAGCACCCTTTTATATTCAAAATACTAGAAAAACTAGGGATAGTAGGAACATACCTCAACATTGTACAAGCTGTATATGCTAAACCTAAAGCCAATATTATTCTAAATTTTAGAGAGAATTGAATGCATTCTCTCTAACTGGAATATGACAGGGATGCCCTCTTTCACTACTTCTATTCAACATAGTTCTTGAAACTCCAGACAGAGCAACTTGACAGATGAAAGAAATTAAAAGGATATTTGCCAATGACATGATTCTGTATTTAGAGGATCCAAAAAATTCTTCCAAAAAACTCTAGAATTAATGAATTAAGCAAAGTAGCAGGATATAAAATCAATACTGATAAATTAAATGCATTTCTATATATCAGTGTTGAATCCTCTGAAAGAGAAATTAGGAAAATTACCCCATTCACAATAGTTTCAGAAAAGAATAAAATACTTGGGAATCAATTTAACAAAAGAGATAAAGTGAAAACTACAGAACACTAAAGAAAGAAATTGAAGAAGACCTTAGAAAAGATGGAAAGATATCCCATATTCTTGGATAGGCAGAACTAATATTGTAAAAATGGACATATTACCAAAAGTGCTATACAGATTTAATGCAATTCCAATTAAAATCCCAATGGAATTCCTCATATAAATAGAAAAATGATCATGAAATTCATTTGAAAAAATAAGAGATGCAGAATAGCCAAAGCAATCCTTAGCAAAAAGAAAGAATCAGGAGGCATCACAATACCAGACCTTAAATTATACTATAAAGCTATAGTAACAAAAATGGCATCGGTACCAAAAAGACTTGTAGACTAAGGGTACAAAATGGAAGACACAGAGACTAACCCATATAAATACAGTTATCTCATATTAGACAAAGGCACCAAAAGCATACATTGGAGAAAAGATAGCCTTTCCTACAAATGGTGCTGGGAAAACTGGAAATACATACGCAGCAAAATGAAATTAAACCCCTATGTCTCACTATGCACAAAACTCAACTCAAAGTGGATCAAGGACCTAGAAATTAGACCAGAGACCGTGCATCTAATAGAGGAAAAAGTAGGCCCAAATCTTCATCATGTTCGATTAGGCCCCAACTTCCTTAACAAGACTCCTAAAGCACAAGAAATAAAATAAAAAATCAATAAATAGAATGGATTCAAACTAAAAAACTCTCATAAAAGAAACAATAATGTGAAAAGAGAGCCTGCAGGGTGGTAAAAAATCTTTAGCACATGCATATTAGAGCACTACTCTCCAGGGTATATAAAGAACTCAAAAACTTAACACCAAAATAAAACAAAACAAAAACAACCCAATCAATAAACAGGCTAAGGAGTTGAACAGACACTTCTCAGAAGAAGATATACAATTGATCAACAAATATATGAAAAAATGTTCAACATCTCTAGTAATTAGAGAAATTCAAATCAAAATTACTCTTTTATTTCACTCCAGTCAGAATGATAATTATCAAGAATTCAAGCAATAATAAGTGTTGGCGAGGTTGTGGGGGAAATACTACAATCATACATTGCTGGTGGGACTATAAATTGGTGCAACCAACCTGGAAAGCACTAAGGAGATTCCTCAGAAAACTTGGAATGAAACTGTCATTTGACCCAGCTATCCCACTACTCCATCTATTTAATATTGCAGTACTGAACCCAAACAATTCTATCTAGTTTAATGTTTTTGAAGCATTTACTGAAATCATTCTGTTTTTGCTTTCCTAATTCAGGTTTACACTTCGTCTTAGTCTCTTTTCCCTTTTGCATTACCTGCTTCTGTCTCAAATCCCCCCATTTCCTTCTTTTGATCTCTTTATGTATTTTTCTCTTTCATCTTTGTTTGATCATTTTTCTCTTTTCTCCTTTTAAATCCTGCAAAGTTTAATAGTGATTTTGCTATCTTTTATAACTAATTTTTTCAACCCTTTCAAGAACACTATTTTAAATCCATATTTGGATTAGAGGAATTGTGGAGAATATTTTCAATAAGTTTTTTTCCTGAGGTTTATTAGTATTTGGCATTGCTCTGAAGCAAATAAAGTTAATAGGAATTAGCATATTTTCTCAAAGTGGTGGTGGATACTGGGCCCCATGAGGAGAAATATTGATACTTAGATATTTGTCCAGCTTAAGGCACTTAAGCTCAATAAATAGCCCCTGCATAAAAGTGCAAGAGATAACCATCCCAGCTGATGGGTAGACACATACAAACAATATAAAAACACAATGGAACAAGCCACCCCAAACAACCCACAACAACTAATCCCACTGATACCTGTGGGGGATATGTCAGATAAAGGATTTTCAAACTTCATAGCTAAAATGTTCAATGAATCAAAAGACGATGAAAGAAATGAACTATGAAAGAAAATACAGGAAGTAAAAGAATATTTTAATAAAGATATAGAGATTGTAAAAAAGAACCAAACAAATCCTGGAAATAAAGGACTCAATAAATCAAATAAAAATTTCAATTTTAATAAATCAAATCAATAAAAAGCATAACCAATAGATTAGGCTATGCAGAAGACAGATTTTTCAGACATGAAGATAAAGTATATTATCCTAAAAGTAAACACAACAATAAAGAATATATGTGAAGAGACAATAAATAGAATATTCAAGAAACCTGGGATAATATTAACAGACCAAATATGAGAATCACTGGTATAGAAGAAGCACTAAAATATGAAGTAATGAATACTAACTAAGCACTAAATATTACCTAATACACAACATTTTCAATGAAATAATATCAGAACACTTAGGAATAAGATTGAAATCCAAATACAAGATACATTTAGTGCCAATACCATGCCATTTTTGTTACTATAGCTTTGCAGTATAGTTTAAGGTCTGGTATTGTGATGCTTCCTGCTTCACTCTTCTTGATAAGGATTGCTCTGGCTATTCTGGGTCTCTTATTTTTCCAAATGAATTTCATGATTGATTTTTCTATTTCTATAAGGAAT